ACGGAAGTAGATTTCCCAACCTTCCTTCTGAGGAGTGTCTGGTGGGTTTGAACCGCCAGCCTTCTGGTTAGCAGTCAAGTGACTTAGGCATTATGCTACCAGAGCTCCCTTACATCACTAAGCACTGGATTAATAGATAAATTTTAAAAATACATGGAACTTCCAAAACAAGACATCTGTGCCTCAATGGGCCCATTTAAATGTTTTACCATGCTTATAATTGTTTTCTGCTGTGAGAGATGTCAGTCAACCAACACACCTTTATTACCTTTTATCTTGGTCTTTACCTTCAACAAGCCTGAAATTCTCTTTTCTTAGTTTCTCTGCTAACTGTACCAAGGGTGATGTACTTACTGCTTATTAAGGACTCCTGAACCATAAAAATAAGGCCATTTAAAATGCAATTTAAAAAAGAGAAATATAAACTGCTCCTTTTTATCTGCTTGTCTGTAACAAATACTGCTCATCAGTTACATCATTCAGTAAGTTAGAAAAATGAAAAAGAAGTCTAGAATAAGAAAGATTTATAAGAGAAAGAGATAAGGCAGGAAAAAAATATACAGAGAGAGAGATAAAAAGTATAAAAGCCACTAACTGATATGAACAAGAAAAAGAAGCTCAGAAACAAGTATATGTCAAAATCAGATTCTGCTTCCATCAACCCAACACTACGTTGTTTTGGGATAAAGCTGCTAAAGATTGAATAGTCTGTTGATATTCTCAACGGAAGAGCTATATGGACATGACACCTTAGTGCTTTCCTGGATGAAATAAAATGGAGGCAGAATCTATCCTTGTCATTACTTAGTGGCTTCTCTTCTTAGCTAAATATTCTTTCCTCCTTTTCTAGTTCCTTTTCTCCTTCTAGCTCCCAAATACCCATCCTTAGCCTTCTGTGTCATGAACGCAAGTGCCATGCCTGTCTGGTTCACTAGTATCTGCTTTGAGACCATCAGAAAACCAGGTATATATATATATTAAAAAAAAAAAAAACCCTCACTGCCATCGAGTTGGATCCAACTCATAGCAACCTCTCCTTGGGTTTCCAGGGTGGTATCAGTATGGAAGTAGATTGCCCAACCTTCTTTTGAGGAGTGGCTGGTGGGTTTGAACCGCCAGCCTTCTGGTTAGCAGTCAAATGGCTTAGGCACTACGCCACCAGAGCCCCCAGTACATGGAAAGGCACTTAAATTTTGTTGAATCAATTTCATATTCATTCCTGTAATGAACTCATCTATAAGTTAAGACTATTCCCTCTATGTTATCAACTTTTAAATCTTGAACAATTTCTTTATAATAAAGCCATGGATTTCAAATTGTCCACAAATCGTCTTTGATTGCAAGCCCTATACTCACCTCATCCAAGAAAGAAAGCCCTTCTTTTCGGTCAGGTTAAAAATCTTGCAGCCCTATTTCATTTGTGCCTCTACTTTGTGCTCTATCCCTTTTGAAGACAGAGTTTTTGTGTGTTTCCTCTGAAAGGTCTTGCCAGCTTGCTTTCTCTCCATTATCACTGCACTGATTCCATCAACTTACCAGCAGTCTCTTTGGCAAAACTATCAATCTTCTCAATTTATTCCCTGAACATGTTAATCTGAGTTATTTTAATGTCTAATGACTCTAATATCTAGATTCCCCATGGGTCTGGTTCCTATCGTCACTTGTTTTTGTTGGTTTTCAGTTATCTCGTTTTATGTGCCTAGTTAACTTTGATATGAATCTGGAATTCAGTTTATGTGAGGGTTGTTTTATATTTCTTCTAGGATTTGGTCCTTCAAGATCTCAGTCAAAAGCCTGGGATGCTTACCTGCACCATCCCACCATTGACAGCCCCTGACTCCACCTTCATGAACCTGTAAAGTTCTGTCTGGCCTCTCAGATACACCCTACGGAATCGACAGCTATCTCTAAATGAGAAGCATTATCAACTACTTGGTCTACTTCTCTGTACTTTCCTTCTCTCCAGAATATTTATTCTGTCATTCTTTACTGCCTAGTCCTTCAAACAGTTTTTTTTTTGGGGGGGCGTGCGTGTCCAGCTTTTCTAGGTTTTCTTAGAAGGCAGGTTAATCTGAAAAATCCATTTCATAATTGCTGGAAGTTATTTTGTCTCAAGCTGTCTATTGTATTCAAATCTACCTACACTACTTTGCATGGACTTCAGTGTCCTCTATGTCCTCACCAAGCTCCATCGATCCAAATTAGAACATAGGCTTTAGGGTTGGAGAGGTTTATGTTCAAATTATGGCTTTAAGTCTACTTAGCTCCGTGACACTGGACAAGTTATAGAACCTTTCATAATTAATTTATAAAATAAGATTAGCAAAACCTGCTTCAGAGTCACTGAAATTAAATAATGTGGGCAATGTATTTAGGCACAATTCCTAGTATATGGTAATTATTGAGCATTATTATCCTTACACTTCACCTAAAAGGAATAAATAATTCATCCTATACTAGAATCCAATCAGCTTCTTCATGGTCTGGTGAAATCTCTATACTGATGTTTCATCTCCACAACTTGTTCATATTATCCCTTAATTCTCCCTTTTCCTAATGTAGTTCAACACATTCTTCAAGGGCCAAATGAAGTTTGACCTCCCCTATGATGGGTATACCAAAAATTCAAAATCCATACTCATTCTGTATGTACATTAATTCATATTATAACTTAGCAGAACACAATTTATCAAGTACTCCATAATTTTGTGTTAGTTCTTTTTCCAACACTAGAGTATCAAATATTTATAAAAACAGTTGATAAAATTTGTATCTTCCATAACACCCAACATGGCACCAAACACATAAGAGATTCTCAAAATATACACGTGGTTCAGAACAGGAAAAAACTTCCTTCAAATCTCACAGATACGGTTTGAATTAACTCTCCAAAGCACACAGAATAGGAGAGGAGGGTAGAGGGACACAGCAGAAGAAAAGGAAATTACTAAACAAGTATATCCCAGAAAGAAAGTGTTTCCAATAAAATATTTACTTAAATCCTCCACTTCAAGCATAACTTCAACTGACCTAGTTGCATTATTTTAAAATGACAATTCAAAGTCCAAAGTTGCATTTTTATAATTCAAAGTTTAGAGTTTAACAGGAACTTCCTGGTTTCCTTGAATAGGCCTTTCCTCTCAGTAGGGGGGCAGGGGGGAGTAATACCCTAACAAATTCAAGAAGTTAGCTAACATTCCCCTGTTAAAGAACACTCAACTAAGTACTTGTCATTGAAATTGTAATACTCTACACCTTACTTGTATTCAAAATGAACTGCTCCTGAAAACAAGAACAAAATTGAGATTTAAAAGATAAACTTCTGGAGGCTAGGATCTTTGGTTTTATCTTTGAGATTCTTTAAAATTTTAATTTTTTATCACAACATACAGATGACTTATTGCTTTTAAAAACAATATTAAATATTGTAACATTTTATAAAGGTTATTTCCAAATAATTCATGTTACTCTTGCAATATATCTCTCTTTAGTATATTTTCTACTTTAATATGACTACTCTAATCAATGGTATTTATGTCACTTATGTAACTGTAAAGTAAAAATAGTTCACTCTACAAATCATTCCATCTCTGACCATTTCCAGCTTCATTCCCTACTCTTTGTTGTTGTTGTTGTTATGAGCCTTAGGCACTATGCTACCAGAGCTCCCTACCCTACACCCTGGTATTTGATTGATTAAAAAAAAAATTGTGCTTTGCCATTTCTGACAGAATGAAGCTTTTAGTGATGTGGATTTACAACACAATTTTCCCTTAAGCAAGTGTCTATGTCATTCAGTGCTCAACAATTGTCATACACATGACAAGAATGATACTCATATGTATCCAGGGTAATTTACATTTAATAAGATGTGATGTAGCAATGTGGTATATTTGAAATTGAGTTCTTTAACCCCTGCTGGGATGACCCAATTCATAATAGAAGTAGCTAAAATATCACAATTTCATTTTTATAACTTCAGAGGAGTCCATTCCAATTCTCAGACAGGAAGAACAAGTACTTCGTAGACGACTGTGAACATGTATAATTTTGATTGGGGGGTAGAAGGAGGTGAGCTCTATTTTGGATGTCAGAAACAGCATGGATTACAAACAATTCTGGGAACATTTATCCCATTTTAACAATCGTTAAAAGGAGAAAGCACAAGAGAGTTAATTCATTGGGAACATAGATGATGTGGAAATGCTAAATATGTAACAATGAATTTTGTATAGAGGACTCTTTTGCCCATCCCATCAGATTGTAGGAAATATAACTCTATGATGTTTTTAACAAGACATTTTAGTAAAACAGTGTTGTTGGCAAGTGGAGAAAGGAGCTGCATTTGACATCCCTGCACGACAGCTTACCCACAGCATTGTAGAGAGGCTCTCCGGTGAACTTGTCCCAGACGACTGTGGTTTCCCTCTGATTGCTCACACCAATTGCTTGAAAGAGAAAGTTAAACAGAAGGGAATAGAAAATTAAGCAAGTAGAAAACTATTTCAGGAGAATACTTCTCGTTTTTTTTTTTTTTAAATAGACATTAACTAAACATAATTCAGAAACCAATTTGGAACATATGAAGTGCCATTTAGTTAAATTTTCTTTGAGTGGCCCGGGAAAAAGTGAACACCCAATGTGAAGTGTCTGTATTTCTACATCCTCCTTCTTTCTTCACCCCCAGGACACCATCATGTGGCCCCCAGACTGAGGCTCCCAGGCTGGCTTATAAAGAAGGAACGCAATAACTTTTCATATTTATAATACCCAATATATCATTCCAAGCAAATCATCTACTTACTGTTAGAAGTCTCTCTCCCTGTGTTTGTGTGTGAACGTGCAGTGTTTTAAGAGAATAACCGGCAAGATGGCGGACTAGGCAGAAGGATTGCACAGACCCTCTTCAACAAAGAAAAGGGAAACCAATTAACACAGACACAGAAGATAATCTTGGACCC